ACACTGCCCCCCTGTGGCTCAGACCGAGGGGTACCCCAGCCCAGCAGGGCTCCTGGTTCTCTCGACCCGGAGGAGGCCCGGCTCAGTCGGGTCAGGAAGAGCCGAGCTGGAACCAGAGCCTGCGCACACAGCAGCCCTCCTGGACTGGAGCTGGAGAGCCACACAAACCTTTCAACTGGGGCTCCTCCCCCCGGCCTCCCCCACTTTACTGAACCTCAGTTCATCTCAGGCGCGGGGGGATTAGTACCCTTGCGAGCCTTTTCCTATTCGAGCATCTCTGCTGCTCGGGGAGATGGAGGTGGAGGCCCGCTCCCCGCACGCGCGAGTGTCCTCGCGGCAGCCCCACCGTCACGTTCGGTTTCGTTTCGTCTCAGTTCAACGGCTGCCCGAGGAGCGAGGCTGGGCGCGAGGGCGAGAGCGCGAGCGCGCCTGTGCTCGCCGGCCGGCAGCACGCGCCGCCCGGGTCGCCTCCCCACGCCGCCGCGCGACCCCTAGCCCCAGCAGTTGCCCATCTCGCCCAAGACAGGGCGCAGACGAGGAGGGAGAGATCCGCGCTCCCTGCACTCCTGGAATCCGAGCTATGTTGTTTTGACTTCGCTCTTCAGGAAGAGGGCGAAGAGTTTCTTGCAGGACGGGTGTCCGAGGGCGCGCCTGCCCCTCCCCCAGCGTCACAGCACCCCCTTCAAGCGCCGGTGTGTTCTTTAGGCGAATGGGCTCCGCTGCCCTATCCCCGTGGGGCCGCTCGGCCACCTCACGAACCCCCTTTCCGCTCTGCGCTTCCTCCGCGCGGGGACGCCGGCACGGTCTCGCACCCCCGCCTCGCTCCGGGAGGGTCGCGCGATTCCCAGAGGAAACGCAGATGCCCCCGGCCGCGAGCTGTTAATGACCAAACCGCCCCCCACCACAAAAGAGTCACACATGCAAACAGCGGGATCTGATAGCGAGAGAAGCGGCGTAATTAGCGCTGCGGGTCGATGCCGCCCCATCGCCCAGCCAGATAGCGCGCCGGAGGGATCAAAGCCCGGCGGCTGGCTTTAGATATGCGGATCCTTCAAGGGCTGCCATTCCGAGATACCTGGACACAAACAAAGAGCCCGTCAGTTCCGGGGGGGGGACAGGCCTTCAGGGACACCACAGTCCCTCTGTCTGTCTGTCAGTCCCTCCCTGGGGGTCTCGCTGCGCCCCCCGCCCCTTTGATCTGCTCGGCAAATCAACATCCCGGCCGACAGCCGCGACCCAGAGGTCCGAACGCGTCCGGTCCCAGGGAGAGACCCAGCAGGTGAAGTTTCGCCTCGCCGGCTCCAGGGCCGGACTGACGGCCACAGCTGCGCCCCGACAACCCCCCGAACACGCGTGAGAGCAGAGATTTGCAGTACAGGGGCAGAGTCACACCTCCCCGAAAATACTCGCGAAGGCTCTGCCTGTACACACTGAACAAAGGCGGCATTATTGACCTTCGCAGTCCAGGCCGACTTTATTTTTTATTTTTTGACGAGACACTTGACTCGAGTGAATGACAAAACCCGCTCGTTGGGGTTTGTTCCTGTAAGACGGGGAGAGCGAGGGCGGGGGGACGTCGGCCAGCTCGGCGACGACTGTCCTGAGGTCAGCCCAGCAAAGAGGCCCGTCCCTTCGCAAACACCGGGCATGGAAACTCACGTCCTGACACACCGAGGAGTCTTACAGTCCGGCCGAGGACGTGTCTGAGATCTTGGAGCGCCTGTGACAGCTGGCGGGCTCTCGGGTTGTAGCCGGCGGCTCGGATATACAGGTCGGACGAGCCCAGACTCCCGGGCAGCTGTCAGGAGATCCCTTCTCCCCCACGGCCACGGACCTCGAGCTCCGTCCCCACGCGCACGGGGACAGGCTTTTGCCCTGGCACGGCGCGAGGCTCCGGCTCGTGATCCGTGCCACCCAGCCGCGCTCTCTCTCTCTCTCGCTCGCTCGCGCGCGCGGCGGGGCGAGATCGCGTTACACTCCGCGCCGTCACACACCGCACATTTCACAAATCACGTCCCCCGCGTCCCGCGTGGCAGGGGGAAAGCCCCCCCACCACCACCACCACCACCTCCCAGTGCGCGCTGGACTGGCAAGGTCCGGCTTCATGAAGGAGGGGGCACGGGGAGAGCGGGGAACTGCGCGTCCTGGCCGCGAGAGCTCCGGCTCCAGTCCTGCGCGCCTGCTCCGCCAAACCCCGACTAGCTACGCAGGCGACTTGTTGCCAACGTCTTGTTTGTTTAAAGGAGGACAGATAAGAAAAGCCCGTTTCTTACCTCGTGTTTCTCAAGATTTCTGGACTGCACCTCCAGCCCGCAAACCAAAAGACATACGTACGTCGAGGCGTACGAGCCGCTCTTGGGGGTCTCCCGCCGCTTTGCTGCAAGTTGTTAATTGTAAGTCCTCAGGAGTCGGGCTCAGTGGCAGGGCGCGGCCCCATCTCGCCTCCGTGTATCGCAGAGCTGGCCGAGCTCGAGCTCACCCGAGCCCGAGACAACCTGGGCGCACGGGCCCCGCCCCCGCCGCCCGCCGATTGGCCGCTTCCCGAGCCGGGCGTTCCAATCAGGCGCGCCTCCGAGCCCTGAGTGACAGCTGAAGTTGGGTACCGTGCGGGGTCCCTTTGCCTTCTGCGAGTTACTTCGCTGGCGTTGCGTCTTCGCCGGAGACGAATCGAGCGGGGTCTCCTGGCTTCGGCAAATCTGATCTATCTCAGCCAGGCCAAACAGCCCGACGGGAGATATTGCGAAGAGAAGAAAGGTTTTTCAGTCTGTCCTGTGACCGGGGCTCTTAAGAAATCCTTTGATCCCCCGCGCCCCATCCTGCGCCCAATGAGACGGGCACGCCGATGCGATCATCGGTCGGCGCGGGTCCAGTCCAGCAGCCGGTGTGTTTGATGAGCAAATTAAATCATAGGACTGATTTTTTTTTTTTTTAGACAGAGATAAGGAAGGAACGCACGCTGAGATCTGTAAAAGAAATATTTAAATGAAGCCTAATTGATAATGTCAGCCCCAACGCCTGCTGATACCCGAGAATCAATATGTCTGTCTTGTCTTCAGGTTCAGCGGGGCTGTTAATCGATCCCGGTTCCCAAGTCAGTTAAACAATAATCTTCAATCATAACAGTATACCACATTTTAGACGTTACCTTTAAAGCCAGTCCTCCCACAGTGTTTTGCAATACGTAGCAAAGCACATTACAGGGAAAAAAAAAAAGTTTTCAGCCTAGATATCACAACACCCAGATGTGGCTGAGACTCCGTTTTCCTTTGGGGTACGGTCCCAGAGCTGTGGGGTCCAGCAGCAATGGCCCCGTCACCCCCAGAGTGCAGGAGAGTGGGGGACACACCGTGACCCAGAATCAGCTGAGCGGCTCTGCTAGAGACTGAAGATGAGCCAGATTGCATCCGAAGGAGTCCCCGTTATTCATGAAGAACATTGCCAGTGAAGAGGAAGCAACAGGAGCTGCTCAGGGGCCGGAGGTGTGTTGTGTGAACGCCGCCGGGAGGACAGTCCCGGTGCAGAGGCTCTGCCACCCTGCAGGGGGCGCCCGTGAGCACAGAGGGGAAGTGAGGCGCGGACACACGAGAGAGAGGAAGCGCAAACCGGGGTCCCCCTGCCATCACAATGCAGATCTCCGAAGGGAGAATCCGACAGTTTCAGGACGCCGGAGGCCAGCTGGGGCCCGGGGCCCCTGGGACCCCCTGATTTATAGCGTGGGGCTGGAGACGTTAAGATCCCAGGCGGCGCTGTGACGGGCCGCCTCCTGGTGGCTCTGGGCTCCACGGCCCTGAAAACCGCCCTCCGTCGTCTTTTTCCGAAAGCACTCAGAGAGAGCAGAGTCCCCCCCAGAAATCTCCCAAAGTTTGGAAACTTCAAAGCCAGCTCCAGAGAGGCTCATGGGCTGCCTGCCCAGCCTCTGTGTGTGTGTGTGTGTGTGTGTGTGTGTGTGCGCGCGCACGCAGAGCGAGAGGCCGCCTCCCTGTTTGTTAGAGGCCCAGGCTGCTGTTTCTCTGCGGCCTCCTGTGAGCAACAACAACAACACAACACATGTGGCACAAACATCATCTGGAAAGCGTTTGCTGTGGCCTGCCGATGTGTCAGGGCTGGATTCATTAAGAGTCCCGTCACGCAGGGAGGAGGGGAGGAGAGGGGAGACGCAGCAGGGCCGGAGCCCAGAGCCAGCCGCGCTCTGGCCGCAGAGGCACTCCGACTTGGGTCGGCGGCGCTTCAGCTCCAGGAAGTTCCCGCTGCCGGGTGGTGAAAGGGAACGTGACACCGAACTGGTTTCGGGCGAGCTGGAAGGCAGCTACGTCACACGAACCGGTTTGTCCAACAAACAGGTTCGGGCTGAGCCGACTCTTCCTCGAGGCGGCTTCGGAGGGGCCCCTTCCGGAGCGAACGAGAGCCGTGATGCTCGTCGGCCCCCCCGCCGGGGCAGGAGACGGTTTCGCAGGCAGCTGGGGGGGGAGGGGGCAGGGCTGCGGAGACGAACGCAGACCCGCTGGGCCCTGCCCGAGCTGCGTGGGAGTGCTCCGCGGCTCTGCGGGGCCCTCAGCCTGCGTGCCAGCTGTGATGCCCTCTGGACTAGTGGGAGCTCTGGTGTCAATTAAGCAGAGCCGCTGGGCTGGTCTGGGCCTGGGGGGGGCGGGGGGGGAATTTTCCACTCTGGGCTGCCCTGCTTGCTTCTTCGTGCTCAAGAGACCATCCCTCTCCCTGGGCTCCCCCCATCCCCATCATCTCCTTTCCCAGGTACCCCTCAACCCCCTCCCCAGACACAGCCCCCGCACCCAGGTTAAGAGCAGCTCACTGGGATGAGCACAGCCCCCCCCCCGCACACACACACACAGTCAGACTGTAAGCACCAGTGTGTGTGTGTGTGTGTTGGCAGGGAGGAGGGGGTATTTACTGTAATTGAGCTGATCCTCCCATCCCTCCTGCTAGCGGGGAATGAGTAAGAGAGGAGGCAGAGGGCACCAGGTCACACGCCGCGCGGAGGGGGGGCGGGGCGGAGGAGCTGCTGTCCCAAGACCTTTTTCCTGGAACACGGCTGCCTCGGCCCTCACGCCCTCACGCCCAGACTCGCGACAACCAAGGGCAGGGGCTCCAGGGCCCGGAGCGATACAGTCTGGATTGGCATACAGGCTGGACTGGGATGGGGTTTGGATTGGGATATGGTTTGGACAGATATAGCTTGGGTTGGAATATGGTTTGGGGGTTGACCAAGGCCAGGATCAGATCAGAAGGACCAGCATGTCCTGGCGGGCTACAGAGACAGGGCTGTCTCAGTGCTGTACCTGCATGGCCACCTCTCAGTCAGAAAAGGGGGATTATTTGTATCGCCGCCTGATCCCGATTCTGAATGCTGCACTGCAGTACTCAGTATGGCCATTCCCAGGCACAGCAGCGTCCGCAGACTCTGGATTGCAGAAAGGCTGATTCTGGGATCTCCATGATGCCGCCTGGACCCCTGTGGTGACTGAGGACAGGCGAGGTCCCTGCGGAGCAGCCTTGCACCTGCGCTGACGCCCCAACAGCGTGGGCATTCCCAGTGGGCAAGTGAGCGTACAGACACACACACACACACACACACACACACACACACACACACAGTTTTGCTTGTCTACGCTCACCTGTGAGTGTCAGAGCAGTGGTGCTGAGAGCAGGCAGCCACAGAGGCACAGAGGTGTGACACAGCAGCTCACATCCAGCAGGAGGGCAGGCTTGAGTCAGGGGCCATGATGTGCACTTTCAAAATAATTCACAGTCAAGGTTCACTCCAGGATGAGCACAACACACATGCATTCACACGTGCACACGCACAACACACATGTGCCCACAAATCAACACACGCACAACACACACGTGTGCTCACACATGCACAACACACAACACAAGTGTGCTCACACATGCACAAGCACAACACAAACACACGGATGCTTAAATATACACACAACACACATATACTCAACCATGCACACACAACACACACATGTGCTTAAATATGCACACACACACACACAACACACACAGACTTGCAGAGGGCCCTGTGTGCAGACAATGGGATCTCAGCTGTGTGTTCTCAAGAGGGCCTGTATAGCACGTCCCTGCAGTGAGAGAAGAGTCTGGACAGGATGGCGAGCCAGTATCATGCCTCTACAGGCAGGCAGAGACAGAGGGAGAGGAGGAGGAGGAGAGAGGAAGGGAGAGATCAGAGAAGAGAGGAATGAGGGGAGGGGTCAGTGGAGAACAGCGAAGGGGGGGGTGGTGAGAGGAAGGAACCAGGAGAGAGCAGACAGGGTCTAAGGGAGACAGCGGGCAGAGAGAGCAAAGAGACAACAGGGAGCAGAGCGAGAGCACAGGGGGCAGATAGAACAGACAGGGGGCAGATAGGGAAGACAGGGGGCAGAAAGGGAGAGAGGGCAGAAGGTGGCAGGAGTGGCCTGTGCGAGGAGTAACAGAGAGAGGGGCATGCCTGCTGTGGGCTCCCACTGATCTGTTCTCGCACGCCCCATACCTGAATGGGTGCCAGGCTGGGGAGAAGGATGGCGTAACAGATACGCCTGACTGCCAACCGCGCTCCCAGAGCCACGGACCCACGTCCCCCAGCCCCAGCCCTGACTTCAGCCCAAACGTACAGGGCGCGCTGAAGGAGAAAGAGCACGTTAACGTGCTCCTGGCGACCCTGTCTCTAATCTCGCCCTGCTCCCCATGTGCACCTCACGCCCTGGCGGTCTGGGACCTCATCGTGCACAGTGTCCAAGACAGCGACCCCGGACCATGCTCTCAAGATCCTGGCTCAACACTCTGAGCCCCACTGCTCCGGCTCGGCGTCACACTGAAAGACTTCCCTCCACCCCCAAACCATCTCACGACTTTTTTCTACAATCCAAAGGTTTAGGATCGCCTCAGCTCCGAGGTGCAGAAAAGAACACGAGAAAGCAAAACGTGCAAGTTTAGGAATGTTTCACGTCATTTTAGGGAACAAGTAGAGACCTGAAAGAGGAAGCAGAGAACTGCAGCAAGTGAGCAGCCAGCTAGTAACTATCGGAGAGCTCATGGAGGTCAGATCTAGTCACGCTCATTGGTAAATGGTGTTTGCTCTAGCCCTCACAGGCCACATCTCCAACAGCCTTGGTCAGCCTTTAGGAGGACCTGCTTTGACAACCAGTCACCCACACAAGCCTGAAAATAACATCCACACACAAACATACACTCACAAACACACATGGGCACACTCATAC